TGTGAGACTTGTATTTCATTGCCTGCCATGCGGTTGTATCATTCTCTTTGCAAAAAGGCAGTGCATGGAGATTGGCTTTATTTAGTTGTGATTCATCCTGCCTTAGAGTAGACGTCTCCATCTGGTAAGATCAGTCATACCCAGGACATACATAGGTTTCAAGGCAGCTATATCACATGTAGATGTTAGGATGTCAAAATACAAGATGAATCGTACTCCAGGGTGAAGTAGGATTGATTCATCCCACTTCCTGATATGACCAGGAAGTCATGCAGATGAATATACTTTGTATTTACAAAGTTATAAAAACAGCATTTTGTGTGTGTGTGTGTGTGTGTGTGTGTGTGTTTTAAAAATATATCAAAGACCTGTAGAGTGATTGAATTAACATAAGTTGAATTTAATTCTACAAAAGTCAGTTACTTGTTTATTTTTAACAGGTAATTATTCTTGGGGCATCTACCCAGGATTGAATTCTGACACTCCAGTAGAAAGCAGTCTGCTTCCCAATTCTGTTTATTCTGAGTCTCCACCTGTTGATGGAAAGATGAAAGTAACTGTAGTACAAATAACGATGGCTCTGGGAAGCCTAAAGAATATTTTCACTCCTCTCCTGTTCCGGGGACTCCTGTCTTTCCTCACATGGTGGATTGCTGCTTGCCTTTTTTCTACAAGCCTTTTTGGTCTCTTCTATCACCAGTACCTGACTGTGGCATGAACAAGTCAACAGACTGAGCAAGTGTGAGGTCAAATTCAAGATACAAGGTATCCCAGGTACCCAAGAGGAGATGAAGAGAAAAGAAGACTATATATGTGAAGAGAAGACATATCATAATTATTTTTAAAGATTTCCTTGGTGTTCTCAGGGTGAATAATCTTAAAATGTTTAAAATTGCAACTGGGTTGGTTATTTTTGTTACCCAAATGGTAGGTAACTAATTCAGTTATAGTCCTGGGACTGACTGACATTATTGTGTTGTAGATGGTGATAAGCATGCTGAAAAGATATGACCTCTGGGTATCTTGGTTTCCATAAACAGTGAGCCAAACTCAAAAATTTGGTTTTTAAGCATCAACAGTCACTGACTGAACTGTATTCAAAGGGTACTGGACATAGTGATGGTGGCTGCCTATCAATTAAGTCCTGAAACTGAGCCATACAAGTGAAAGGAGAGAGAGGGGATTTTAAAAAATAGATCTGTTGGATAGCTATTGATCACTTTTCTCCTTGAAAAATTAAAAATCCAACAGGACAAAAGAGATACTGTATATTACAGTAAGGAAAGTTGTATAAAATATAAATTAAACAGGAGTAGATGTATGTACCTGACAGGTATTGCTGCCTACATATTTTGCAGGAGTGCTTGTGCAGTAAGAAGAGAGTTATGACAATTATATTATTTCAGTTCCTGCAGTCATTTTGAATTAATGGCCATCTGTATTGGTGCTAGTATTGATCCACACATTGCATCTGGATCTTTTAAATTTCTTCATTTGAGGTAGTAGATAAATTCCATTGAGTTTACAAAAGAATAGAAAATAATTAGTGACACCAGTCAAACATTTCAAAACAAAACAGTTTAATCCTGCTGACTGCTAGTGTATGTATATGTGTAATGTACATATATATTATATATCAAATATATAATATATATGAAGATATGAAATACGGAATCTTTATTTTAAATTCCTGAATGTATCTTACAGAGCTATAGGAGAGGTGTGTATATATATCTAGTAATTTCAAGATTCCCTTTTGAAATTAAACTTTTAAATTTTTTTCTTTTTTTTTTCTTTTTTTTTTCAGTTAAGTTGAAAGGGCTGTTTGGTTTTTGTGCCTCTTTAGAGGTACTTAACTATACTAAAGAACTTACTATGTCTTGGAAGAAAAGATCTACCTAAACTGTTAATCCTAAAATTTCTGTTCTGTCAAATCATCATCTTTTGTCACTTTAATCTGTGCTAACTTGACCATATAATGATAATTAATATATCTTTGCTTCAGAAATAGATTTTCTGTATAATAAAACAGCCATGTAGTAAGAAAAAGAGCAAAGTATTAACTTTACAATTTTTGCTTAACTGAATAGATATATTCCAGTCATAAAATTATTTACAGTTTTTCAGATGTTTTGTGTATTTGCAAAACAGGAATGGGGATTTATATGCAGTAGCTTTTTTAAACAGTTAATATTGATCTTCACAGAGGTCAGTGGGTTTTTTAGCTAATACTGGCTGGTTTTATGTTACTGTTCTTTTTCTCTTGAATTTGTGTACAGCTTTGGCATATAATAAGCATTTATAAATGGAAAAGCTTAACTAATTTTTAATATGTAGCAAACCTACCATATGGGAGAACAAACTCAATGAATGCAGAAAGTCGAGATTTTAAGCTGGTGATAAACTATCTTGCTGTGTTGAAAGCTTTTAAAGTTATTTATTAGTTTGTTAAGTTGCATTTACTGGAGAAAGATTTGTGTACACCAGCATAGTACCTACTGCATGGGTTTGGGACATCTGAGAACACCTTGCATGATGATACTGGTTTCATTGCAGTATTTCAGTGTGACTGGGACTACAAGCTTTGTTGTTTTCACACCAACTTTTTGTAACTAATAGGGACAAGTGCTTAACTGTGAATTGGCCTAAAGAATAATATTTGACCTCATAGTTTCAAATTTCAATCATTCCGTGGAAGTATTTTTCAGATTAATAATTGAATGGCAAAATATGACAGGTCCAGTAATACTGCACCCGCTTTCACATTAGTTCAAGATATATCATTGCGAGATACATCATTACTAACAGAATTATTAAGGCCAGCTCTTAAGTTAGAGTTAGGTGCTCAATGCCAATCTTTTATTCAGAAAAATAAAACAATGCAAAACAGTTTGATTCTGATAGTGAACTTGCCTGATGAAGCTCACTATATAGGAGATATAACCTGTTGTTGAAATCTGAAGGAGTAAATTTTGGATACTTGGAGATACTTAAAAATAATGTTAAGCAACAGTTTTTGCTAACATAGTCATTCTGAAAGCTTATAAGCAAAAGTGAACTGTAGTTATATAATAATGCTTTCAGCAAAAGTAATAAGGATTGTGTAGCTCAACTGCACAAAGCTTTTGCTAAGAGCTCATGTTCACTTACAATTCAGACATTATTCTGATCACAGTGAAAAATAGGCACCTAGTGTTACAAACATGAAGATCAGTGCTTGTTGCCGCTTGTAGCCGCTGAGTTGTTCCATTGTTCTACAGACCATTGTTGTGCAGAATTGAATGGTTGACCTTCCAGTCAGCAGTGAGTGGGAGACAGTCCTTCTTTGGGTCCATTTAATCCTGACATGAGTCCAGAAGGCTTATGAAAAACCAAAATATGCTAATAAAAACCTTTGAAACATGTGATGGCAGTGAAACCAGAGGGACCATATTGCTAAGGTTGTGAGCAGTGCTTCAGACAAGCATGTGATATGATAAAAAATGTGTTTTAAAGTAAATCAGCAACCCTGATAGTCCTGACTTCCATATATATTGTGTAAGGGTGAAAGGAATATCTGCTTACTTCTGTAGTAAGTTCCTTTGAAACAGCAGCTGGCAAATGCCTTTTTTGTTTGTTTCATGGAGACCTTTAGCACCACCTGGCAATGGGAGGAAAGTGTCTTGCAGAAATGGAAAAGCAATAAAATGTGACTGAAAGGTTGGTAGGTGTTACTCAGGTTTCTTAAACATTTTGTCTTGCTTTTTGCCCACTACTTAATAAAAAAAATTGTAGAATGTTTTGGGTTGGAATGAATCTGGAATGGATCACTTTTCACTGGACCAGGTTGCTCCAAGCCTCATCAAACATGGCCTCGAACACCTCCAGAGATGGGCAGCCGCAGCTTCTCTGGCTAACCTTATCTAATGCCTCACCACCCTCATAGGCAAGAGTCTCCATCTAATACCTAATCTAAATCTCCCCTCTTCTAGTGTAGAAGTGTTCCCCCTTGTCCTATAACTTCCTGCCTGTGCAAAAAGTCATTCTCCCTCTTTTTTATAAGCCCTCTTTAAGTACTGGGAGGCCACAGTGAGATCTCCCTTAGTTTCTGAGAGATTTTAGAAGGAAATGTTCCTGTGGCAAAGAGTCCATGTCTGTTTCTTCTTAAATTCTGATCTCTTTTCCTCTCTTAGTGATGTGACTTCCATTGCCGATTTACAGCACTGTCCCTGTGTTCCTTTCTCAGAACCAAGTGGGCTAAACTAGTTCAAGATTGTATTTTGACTTCTGTTTAGTTTAAATTTATCTATTTTTGAAGGATTAGTTCCTTTAAATATTTCAAATAACTTAAAATTCCATCTGAAATTTGAACATACTTGTTGATATTTGTTTAAACTCTGCACTTTTATTATGTGGGTCCCTTTAGAAAAAGGGTTAAGACAGCAAAAAATCCAAGTCTTCCAGCAAGTTCAGGGAAGTCCAGACATAACACTTGGGCTGTTTCTGAGCTAAGAGACATTGATTAAGAACAGGAGAATAGACTATAGAAAGCCTATTCTTACACTTTGTAGGTGACATTCTCAGGCTGCACCTGTCCTCTTTTAATTCCTTCTCAAACTATAGGTTATGCCAGTTTTTGAGGTTTTCTTAGCTGCACAGTCTTTCCCTCCTCCAGAATTCGCTTGCATAAAGGATCCACAGATTAAATAGTAGCATCAGTACAAGAGAACATCCTTGTACAGAAGATACTTCCAGAAAATTAATTTCTGTTGCAGTTGTTCTTCTCATTTGGGTCACAGGTACTGCAAGGTGTTTAAACAGAAATGCATTCTTACCTGGATTGTCAAGTCAAATTGTTTTAAGAATAAAAATGCTACCAAGACATCAGCACAACATTTAGGCAGCATCACCTCACTATGTGTAGGGTTAGCAAGTAAGGAAATTTCAGCTAACTTCCAAGGAACAATTCAAAGAGCTGTGCTTCCTTATAGTAACTACACCTAAGTGGTAATAGGCATTTGGGATATATCAAATAGAAAATTGAGCACATCTGATATTAAAGCTGTTGGAAGGTTCTCCAAGGTAAAAGACCTTATGTTTCTTTATTCTCAAATAGCTGTGCTTTTCACTGAGATAATTTTGATCAGTTTTTAAATACTATGCTTCATGACTTTTCTCATGACACATTTTGCACATTAATTTGTTCCACACAGCACCTCTACACTCAGACTTAACCCCACAGTTAATGTTGTCACTATAAAGTTCCTAGATATTTCAACTAAAAGTTTAAGAATTGAGTGCCCAGACAAAATGGAGACATTGAACAAGAACAAGGCCAAAGAATACTCTGTGTTCTCTTGGAGGAATCTGTATGCCTGAGCAAAATCTTAATTTTGGAAGACAGCAGCAGTTTACTTGTATCTCAAATAAAATATTAAATGTGAATTATGAGTAAGACTGTTATTTTTAGCATCTACAGCCTAAATCCCAAATGGTAAAGAAAGCAATATTTTGACCTCCCAGATACCTACTCTAAAGAGCATCTAGGCAACAGATGCTTAGAAGCCAGATGTCTGATCTCACCAAGCAGGCTGATTCAGATTGGTGTCTGCTTCAGAGTGATTTTTGTGCAACTACTTTTCTAGGAAGGCCTGCCATGCTTTGTGATTTGTGCAGCACATACAGTCATGTACTGCATGATGAAGTAGATGGCGTGTCTCATTTGCATTCCTGAGTACTAGATTGGAAGGTCTTCCTCCTAGGTGAGATCATGAAGCCAACATGTTCTAGGCTGATTTTACTGACATCTGTATATGCTGCACTTAACTTTTTCCATTCTCTCACTGTGGACTGCCAGGAGGGTAATATTGCACAGGATGTTGTTTTTGCATGCCAGTGTATATGTATTTTTATACCTTTGATTTCAATTGTGTTTTTATTGGAAATTATTTCTAATCCTAATACCATGGCTCATATTTTCATTTTTTAAAATTAATATCAGTGCCTGCAACTAGAAGTCAAAAACTTCTATGCTAATTTTTTTAAAGCTTGATGCTTAGGCTGAAGTATTAATAGCCTGTAAATACCAGATTTTTTCCATGTGGTTACACATCAGTCAAGAGCCCTTAGAATTTGTACTTGCAGCATTTTTTCACAACAACATACTATTCATAATGACCCTGCTGTCTATAAATACATATCTCAAAATAGTTTGAATAGTTTTTTTACAAATTCCTTAGTAGTAAGCTATTATTCTTTTATTGTGCTGCAATATATTTTTTAAAACCTGGCTTAAAATTCCTTAAAGTCAGACTTATTCTCTCTTCTTCTGTTCATAGTAACTCTGCTTCCTGTATGTGCTCTAAGCTTCCAGAATACATATTCACAGTATTTTTCATAAAAGCATAGGACAAAGAAAAAGGCACCAAAAATTATATTTCATAACTAGTTCATACCCATGTCATGATGTGCCAACAGTTTTTGTTTTTCCTATCTTTGGTCATTTCTTTGTTCCATTGTTAACAATATGTAAGGCTTTCTAGGAGGATTGTACTTGGAAAAAAAATCTGTAATAGAAGATACTGAAAGCTGTCTAATGTTTCAATCTTCCTATTTATGTGAGCA